ACTTGTGTAAGATCACTTGATGATAGAACTGGGAACTGGCCCCTTACACTCAGGTTTTCCATCCTTTGCTACCTCTTTTCTTACCATGTTTTGCCTTTCCAGAACTCATCATTTTTGAGGGGCAGGTGGGTACAGTGGCCAGTTGTGTGATTTTGGAAGCCTGAGTTAGTGTCTTGGATCTCTCTCTACTAACTGCATGACCTTGATGGTGACTTAACCATCTTGGACTTAAATTCTCTTATCTGTAAAATGGGGATAATAACATGGGAATTCTTATAGAATTGTTTGTGAGTATTAACCATTAACATGCAAAGCATTATAAATAATGCCTGATACGTAGTAAGAGCTCAGAATGTTCCAGTTATTCTTATCTTTACCTAGTCATCAGAATGGTCCTTCTTAAGGTTACCTTATATTAGACAGTTTCCAATTACATTTTCGAAAGTCATAAAACTGCCTATCTTAGAACATTCTGAAATTCATATTTTCCTTGAATTCAGCCTACTTTCCCTCTAATTAGCCCAATTGTGGCAGCTTCACTATGTGCTGATTCAGAGGTCAAAGTTTATCTTCTTTACTGATGTAACTAATTTTAAACTGGTTGGATAGACTTCTCTTCTTTTTTTCATGTATTAACTTTCTTTTGCAAGGACTTTGATCTGTTTACCTGCAGGTTGGGGAAGGGAGGATGGGCAGGCCAGGAGGAAGCTGACCAAGCTGTGTGCAGTATGCCAGGGGCATCTAGCGTAACTGGGCATAACAGGGATGTGGCTACATATGCAAAATTTCTGCCAAGAAGGAAGCCCAAGAGGGAAGTTGCAGGGAATTTTTAGTTGAGAAAAACTGTTTAGGCAAAGATGGCAGAATTGAAAAGTTATGAAACATACTTACAGGTTCTCCACCTTTCCTTGGTGGGTCTTTCCACCTGTGAGTACAATTATGAAAGGTTATCCAGCAGTGAGCCAGGATGACTTCTATAGACCTAGTCACCATGCTCTGGCCTTCTGATCTCCACAGACAAAGGATTACTTTTTCCGATGCACTCTCATATGAGGTATAATTATAATGAAATTGATCCCTTTTAAAAAGCATACAGGCTATGGCTCACACAGCTGGTGAATTTTATTCCCTCCAAGGTAGTCCTTTTGGGAGTACTGTGTGTTTATTGCAACAATGCTGCTTTTACTCAAGCTCTTCTACAGTTGTTTGAGAACTATTTCCTAATGCAGTATTTGCAACACTGGCCTTCTTCTAATTTAAAAGCTAGATTATTGTTATTATTATTATTATTTGAGTTGGAATCTCACTCCATCACCCAGGCTGGAGTGCAGTGGCACTCTCACGGCCACCCCGGTGTCGACCTGCTAGGCTCAATCAATCCTTTGCTTCAGCCTGCCAAGTTGCTGGAACTATAGGCATGCTCTATCATGCCTGGCTAATTTTTTGATTTATTGTAGAGATGAGGTCTCGTTGCCCAGGTTGTTCTCGAACCTGTGAGCTCAGGCAATCCCCTTGGTCTTCCAAAGTGCTGGGATTATAGGCTTAAGCCACTGCACCCGGCCTATTATTACTTTAAAAATATCATTTCCAGGCAAGTTTTGCCAGAAAAGTGTATGCTACCAAATTGGTTAATATTATTTTGGTAGCAATTAAGATAAAAATTTGGTTAGGAGATTAAATTTCCTATGTGGTTTGTCAGTTGCTCCTAGAAAATAACTTTAAAAAATACATTGAGTAATGGTAGCATCACCTATGCCTGCTAGCAACTTATTTGATAGACATAAATTTGAGTATTTATGTTCTGTTGTGCTTGTTAAACTGGTCGACACATCTGCTAACAAACCAACCAAGCAAGTAGCAAAAGCTTCATCAATTTATAGCCATACTTTGGAATTCACACACTGGCTGCTTTCGGCCTGGGATACAGAGAAGGTTTGAAGAAGTTTCTGTCTGTGTTTTTCCTGTTACTGCTGCACTAAAATGCACCCTTATATGGCCACTCACTTCATCTGCAATGCACACGCCTCCCCTTTCTCGCACTAGCTCGAAGGCTTCCTTTAGAAACCCCTTGGGGTACTGGACAACTCCATTCACACCCTGCAAAAGACCAAACCAAGAAGACCTATAATAACAACACAAGATATTTTAGAAAAAGATGGATCATTATTACCATTATCATGATAATAATACTAGCAATTTAAAAAACAGCCTGTAGAACATTTTCAATTATAGGAAAAAAAAGAGGGCTCATCACTCTTATACCATGCTTTCTGGAAAAAGTGTGCAAATATTTGTTCTTTTCTGAGATTAGAAATAGTAGAATAAGGAAACGTGGTAAGACTAAAGAAAGACTTCTCAAAATTAGGGTTTTAAGCAGCTAAAAATTGCCAGGGCTTTCTTAAGAATTTTTGGAGTTCAATTTCATCTATCTATCTGGTCAGTATGGGCATGGAAAATAGGAGCTTTAAAGGTCAGTTGAAAATCAGGGACCTTTTTTTTCCCCAGGGAGATCAAGAGTATGAATTGAAGTGGGCGAGGCATACAATGAGCACTTAATAAATTTGTAATTCTCTAGGATGCATGAGTTAAAACTCTGATAACTGAAAATTCACCTCGATTAATGTCTAAGGTTCATATACCCACTTGAATTGGTTCTGCAAAAAATCCAGCCACTGACTTGGCCACAGAAGTGTTGAGAGTATCTTTGAATTGTTCAATATACTGGTCTTTAGCTTGGCAGCAATCTGCAACAAACAAACAAACAAATAAACCAAACAAACAACTAAACCACAGCATTTGCAGATGTAAGAATGACATCCAAAGCATGGGGAAACAGAAAAAAGAATAGAAAACAGAGTAAGTTGATTAGAGATCCTCCGAATACAACAAGCTAGGAGATGGGAAGGTGCATTTCTGAAGGGGACCATTCTGTCTGAATGAACAACTTGTACTTTGGTTCAAGGAGGAAGATTGAGGTAGCCATAAAGGCATAAACAAACCACTTCAATTATCTTCATCTGGGAAAGAAATGGTCTGAAGTGTCATTGAGTCTGGTGTAGATAACTGTTTCATCTAAGGATGCCCAGTCTCTCAAACGGGCAGATCTAATTCGAACATAATTGGGATCATTTAATCAATTTGAAAATAACTCTATTTGCCTTTTATTGCCATTTAATCTGAGGTACAATTTAAAAACTTCCAAGTGTCTCTGTCTTTAGAGTTAGTAAATATGTCAGTAGAACCATTAGAATTCAGCCTAAGGAGGAATGTGCTAGAGCCCCAGGTACATTGCGTCCATTGCAGCCCTTGGCGCTTGGTTGTGTGCTTGTTTTTTATGGCTTTTTCTCCCTTTAATCAAGAGTTCTTTGTGGGCAGGGACTATGCCTTATTCATCCTGGAATCTCTGTGGCCAAGCAGACTGTCTGGTAAACTATAGATGCTCAGGAAATGTTTAATTAATTCAGAAGAAAATAAATAGTAGAAATTGTGGCTAGTGTGAGGCATTGAGTAATTTCACTTGAAGGTCATTCTTATTGGGAAAGGGAGTGAAGTTATTCAGATATTATCTTTAATTCATTAATCCTCTTTGTAGCTGAATATAACTGCTGATAAACCTACCTGCTAAGTTTGTTTTTTTGTGGAGTTGGAGTCTCACTCTGTTGCCCAGGTTGGAGTGCAGTGGCACGCTCACGGCCAATGCACCCTCGACCTGCTGGACTCAGACAATCCTTCCACTTTAGCCATCCAAGTAGCTGGGAATACAGGCATGTGCCACCACACCTGGCTAATTTTTGATTTATTGTAGAGATGAGGTCTCGCCAAGTTGCCCAGGTTGATCTCGAACCCGTGGGCTCAGGCAATCCTCTCACCTTTGCCTCCCAAGGGATTACAGGCATGAGCCACCGCACCCAGCAAAGTTTTAAATTTCAAGAATTTATTTTTATTACTAGAAAATATAATTGTCTTCAAAACTTGCCTTGTCATTCTATATAGTTCCTTATCCACTGCACATGTTTTCAAGCTTATATTTGATTATCTTTGAATGTAGTAAACATACTCATTTGACTGTCTGATCATTCTGTAATTTGAAATCCTTGGGGAGCTTTTCCTTGGTTGTGGGGTTTTGTTTCCTTGCAGGCTTTTTATTTTTGACTGTGGATGGTTTATTTTCTTTGGAATTTTATTTGTGAGGCTTCATTGAGGCCTTGAATGCAGTAGGTTCCTCCAGAGCATACTTGTGATTGCAGCATATTTGTATTTGCAGCATTACTAGTCTAAGATTCCTTTAAAGTACCAGCTTGAGAAGTGAGAGTTCAGAATGTAAAGCCTTCGAGGGCTGATCTGCAGGTCACCCTTTCAGTGGTGGTTCCTCCCAGATCCCCTCCACTTTCATCAGCACCTGAATTCTTGCAGACCCTTTGGCCTGTGACAGGTTGTCGTTGTTGGTGTGTTTATTTCTAGTTGACCCATGGATGAAAGTGTGGCCTCTTGGGGGGTTCCAGCTTCAAGGCAGGGGAGGGTTTCCTATCAAATCTCTTACTTTGACTGGGCCCTGGGCTTTATCTTTTTCTTGAACTCCATAGAGCCATAAACACTGACACTCAAGGTCACGAGTTTTGACAGATGCTCTAAGGGCAAGAGCTGCTGAAGTGCCCTAATGACCTCTTTGAGTGTCTGAGAATTCATACTTTCTTACATCGATGCATTAAAGAGAATCTGTTTCATATTTTATCCTGGATTTTCAGTTGTTTTCTCAGCTGGATATAACCTAGGTTGTCATATTACCAGTAACAGCTGTCTATTTACTTCAGATATCTTAGTAGTAACCATGTTTACGTTACCATCCTGCTTAAAGATGATAGATACATACCTGCAGTGGTGATGCATGCTTCACTAAGCTGTAAACCTTACCACACAGACAGACAGGCACAAATTCCTGTGGATGGGAGAGGACCAGTGAAGAAGGGGAAAATTGCCCAGCAGCTTGCCCAAGCTCCAGAAGTCTCCATCTGTGTGTTGAAATTGAAACCAGGCTCGGTGGCTCAGCCTGTAATCCTGCGCCTTTGGGAGGCTGAGGTGAGTGGATTGCCTGAGCCC